TCAGGTCATGGTGAAGGCCAAATTTCGCCGATTTTCAGGTCGAATATCGACAGTTTACAAGATGCCATTGCCGACGCATAACTCGCGGGAACCAATTAGAGCTACAGCACCGCGGAACATTTGATAGCCATATTAGCATGCTTTCTGGTTATTTCTCTTAGATTTGACCCAACTTCAACGGTTTTGCCTGCAAGGGGCAAAAACTACCAAAATAGACGATTTTTTTCTGGAAAGTTTTTCTGCAATAGCTTTTGACTCATGCCCTGCACGAGCTTTCTTTTACCGACATCGTGTTCATCTCGTTAAGACGCATCAAATTAATTGCAATTTGACCTTGAAGGTCAACTTGAAAATTGACCTCAGGTCAAGGTGAACCGGAAATCTGACCGGAAATTGTCATGTTGCATATCAGTCGATCTGCATCGTCGAGCCAAACACAACTAAGGCATTTTCATCGCTCTAGCATGCCTCTTTCAAAAGTTATTCGCGAAAAACTGTTAGATACCATTCGTGAACTGAGATGACCTCAGGGGCATAAACAAGGGTCACGGCCGGGTGCTATTTTCATGTTCAGTGTGTCAAAGTCACGTACAGTGTTTTATAGTGTTTAGAATAACTTTCGTCCAAAAGAGTTGGTTTTGAATTTTCTCAAATTGACTTATAAAGAAGTCGCAAAATTGAGCTGACCTTTAGTCACCGATATGAAAATTCCGAGATATAAATTTTGCACATGCTGTTGCCCTTATCAATCGCTGAAAGTTTCAAAGCGATCGGTCACTCGGTGTAGATACGGCATACATTGAAACATTTTATAAGGTGAGGTTACTTGAAGTGGGCGCAAAATGACCTCGCCGTCGGCGCGCCCCTAACCCCCCAACAAACAAACAGAGGTTACTTGAAGTGACCTGGTGACCTGGTGATGATCTTGAATGATCTTGGTCTGAAATTTTTACAACACGTGTAGAATTGATGGATGATGGAGCGCCGCCGTTTTTTAGATATCCGCGAAAAAACGCAGGAAAAATCGCAGGTGTTCAAACACCTCCCCCCCCAGCAGGGCGCCAACACACTTTGACGATTTGCCCCAGTAGTCAAAATTCCTTAGCCGAGGCCCTGGCGTGAATTTGAATTAATGTGAAGATTCGAAGCTAATTTTTAATATATGTTATAATGTTGAGCCCGGTGAGGAAGAAAGAACAGCCAAAATGAGAAAAAGAAACTGCGAATCTTCTGTACCAGTCGCTTTTTGTGGCAACTATCGGAATTTTGTTGATTCGCCGCGCCGCGCCACTTTCGTAGTAAGGCACTTCTGCTTAGCTGGCTTTCTGCTATTTTCAATATATTGATTTAATAAAGGATGGTCATCAATATCAATTTTGTGTTTTCATAAATAATTTTTAAGATTAAAACTCAACATAATTGTTTTATAATTTCTCGTAAAAAAATAAGTGTTGACACGAAATTGTAATTTGTAGGACGCTTGATAAATTACGGCAACTACGCAAATGTGCTTAGTTACGGAGGTGTAAACAATTCCAGTTGTGGCTTTGTGAAACCGCTTCATTTGCGCTCCGTAGTTTGAAAGGATGTGAATTACGGAAAGGTGTAAGTTACGGCAGAGTTTTATGAAACGAGGCCCATCTAAATGCTTAAAGACATCATCTTCTGTGATCAAAACTATCACAATATTCGTGATCAGCACCCCGAAAAACCCCCTAGCAGCCACACTTTACGACTTTCTAACAGGTCCCGATTATCCCGACATTTGGGTCATTGACCTGACTTGGAAGGTCAACTGATGACCTAGGACCTTAAAATTGGGTACCATCGGCTTCCTCTCGTGAAGGGCAGCACGCTCGTTTTTCCGCGAAGCTCTAGCTCGATCAGGGGCCAAACGCGAGGGGGGGAGGTCGTCTCTCCCCCTTTGTGCCATTGAAGGACGCAAAATAGCCTGTGCCGGCGAGGGTTAAGGTGTTGCGAACTGCGAAGTTGTAATATTTTTAAAGAAAGGTGTAGAGAAGTACTAATTTATTTGTTGCTTTCAAATTAAAACTCTTTGGATACTCAGCACTCAATTTCAAGTATGCATTCAGCAATTAGAAAAAAAAACATTTTGCCTGGCATTAGCCACCTCAATCCTCCCGTCTAGGGAGAATTAAAATGAACAACTATAGCAATTCACGCCCTGCGTAAGAATGCGTGATGGGCGAGATATACGTTGTATCAAATACGGCGTCGCTAACGTCCATCGCTTTTTTTTTCGCTGACGCTTTTGAAAAAAAACGAGGTTTGGTAGCAAAACAATTCCTGGCAAGGAGTCTGTTGAAAAGTGAGCTTATTTAGTGTTTGAACCGAGAGACTTCCTGGTCTTCAACCCCATTTGAGCATTTTTAATTCCTAATATCTTCAGCTCTGGCAAATAATGCGGCGCTGGTAACCGGCCTCTCTAATTCCATAAGTCTGTCTCTCTGAGACGGGGCGTCCGCGTCTTACAGCGCGGGCCAGACGGTCTGGCACCGAAGTCGAACACGCCACTAGAACAAATAAACACGGCCGGCCGCCACCGATACGGCTCAACTCAGCCGCCCCTAACCGGGAAGAGGGGGGAGGGGGTTCACTGAGGAGGGGCCATGGGGAGGGATGGACATCACTACACGGGAGGGGGCCGGGGTTGCAAAAACAGTTGTGAGGTCGGCAGCAGATATTGAGACGCTTTGCTGACCCGTGCCGTGCCACATACTGACAATATCTTTATGTATTATGCAATGTCTATCGCTGGATAAGTTATGCTTCTATTCAGACTTTCAAGATAGAATTAGACGGAAATAAAATGAAGGCCTAAGGGGAAAACAAGGCCTCGATAAAATCGATCGATATCGATAAAACTGATGCTCCCGAGGTAATAGAATGGCTGATGAAACGTTCTTACAAAATTAAGCCCAAAATTCCATTAAGGAACAACAGCCCAGTGCCCACCCTATAAATCCGTTGGGACCAGTATCAGCGCCGTGACGCGCCAAGCCCGTTCCGTCAGCTCTCGTATCTTCGCCAGTGCCACCGTAGCCCGTACCTACTTACATAAGGACGGCGACGGCCGGTCTGGGTCGGCCGACATACTGGAGTGGTCGTGAACCTTGTCCTTTGCACCGTGGCTTCTGAGAGCAGCCAGGCCAGCGAGCGCCCAGCACAGCACTGTTGCATCATCATCGTACACCGATATAACGTTTCAGGAGTGCAATCACAACAAAGGAAATGCTCCGGACGCCAGGCGGCGTTGTGGTCAGAAGTGTCTTATTGCCGCCCCAGTCGTATAACTTGGAATATGCAAAATGTTTTACGCAAATTGCATTGCCTATTGCCTTGGGATTTTGAACACCAAACATTTTTTATAATATTCGTAATTTTCAACAAATAATGAGCAAAGTTAGGGTTGACTGCTACTTACGTCGCCTGCTTTCGGCTCAGTGTCCTCGGCTGAGGCCTGATACGCTGCAGCCCCATCAACAACTGCAGATAAACCAGTTGTGGTTGAACTGAAGTTTCGTAGCAGAAGTCCGCAGAAGTTCCACCAACCATATCTGGGCCTGAAACTGCTGCGGCCAGTCGGAGCGGCTGGCGGCAGCAAAACAATGACACACAATTCCCAGCCGCACCCCTCGAAAACCGCAGACAGCGATCCGGTGACTGCTACCGCCTATATACCGGAGCCTTGCAGACGATCCGGTGACAAGAAGCGGTAGCAGAGTATAGGTAACATGTGCGGCGTGCGCCAAGCCAAGGCCCTCCAAACGTGGGAATGGGAATTCCCATTCCAAATTTCATTTCAAATCCAGTATTAATACTGGATTTGAAATGAAATTTCGTAATTTATAGCATCATGCTACCGAAGCTTAGCGACCTCGAAAGGCGACCATGGAACTGGTAATTAGGAATATCATTGAAGCGTTAATTTATTAGGCGTAATACAGCATTTTATCGTATTTGGCAATAGGAATGAGCCCTTCCAAACAAACATTTTGAATAGTTGGTCATGGAATGCAAAAAGAACGCAAAAAATGCTTACCATTTTTCAGTACTTACCCAGCAATTAATAACTTTTTTAATCTTAGTTCCCTGCAACAGGTCTCGAAACATAGCCGTGACAAATGCCATACCCACTGCTCTAAAACGCCGTTTAATTTATGGAAGCACCTGTCGCGGAATGCACCACTGCCCGGCTGCCACTGGCCCCTCCCCTCTGCCCCCTCCCACCTTCACCTGTCGTGGACCTGCTACCGACCCCTCCCCTTCCCCACCCCTGCAATAGTAATTACATAGGACCGGCTTTTTACTGCTGGCTTTCCCGGGGGCCACCCTGAAGGGAAAACCAAGGAGCTTACCGGCCGTTTCCGTTTATGGCATCAAATCCTCATTTGTGCATATCTTTCAACTTGTCCCTACAAATAACGAGCACAGCATCTGTCAGAGCATGATGAGGGCGTCAAGCGGGCAAAGACTCTGCAACTGACGTGACACCTCATTTCATCAGCCAGCATTCAAAATTCCACAAAAATCGGCCGGCGGGCCGGCCGGCCTGCAGCTCCGGCGCGCGGCTCACGGAGTTCGTTGCAGTCCAGTTGCCGGCTCGTTCAAAGTTGCCGCGTCTCCCGGCCGGCCGTCTCACGGAGCCGTGCGGCGTCACGAGCTGGGCCGGCCGTTCCGAGAACCTCCAACCGCCGCCGCCGGGTTTCCAGCGAAATCCGCCCCCCTGCCCGCCCCCCTCCCGTGACGTATTGGCGCGCTCGCCCGACTCCCGATTTAAAATCGCCGGCGCCATTGACAGTTGCCGAGGCGGCGCGTGCTGCCGCGTACTAGCAGCGTGAACAAGCCGTGACGTCACATACTACTGCTGAGGCCGCCACGACGCGCACCGTAACATACGCCTACGTATTCCAAACCCAGTGGCTCTCAAACCGGTCCGCCGGCGTCGCGTCGCGCCAGCCTGCACCGAGGCGCATGTCAAATTCGAACGGATTGCGTCCCGGCAAGTGACGCCGCCTGACGCCGCGCGCATGCGCACTGCGGCCGTGCGCCGCCCTCCCGGCCGGCCGGCCGTCCGCCGCATCCCGTGACAGCCCGTGACTTCTCGTGACCTCGCCGTGACCCTCAGCCGTGTCGGCGGCGGCGGCTGGCCGCGGGGCGCGGGCCCCGCCGGTGACGTTGGCGCCGCCTCTGCGGCCGTCGTCGACGTACGTCTATTGGTATGCAGGGCAACCGGCGGCCAATAGTACGGGCAGCGTAGCGGAGCGGCCGGCGCGGCGGTCGCGCGGCCCGGCCGTTGCAGCGCGCCTGCAGTACAGACTACAGAGCCGCCCTGCCGGCCGGCCGCGCCGCCCGCGCCGCTCAGCGCCCTCCGACGCCGACGATCGAGCCGGCGGCCGCTCGGCCCGTGCTATCTGGCGCGCTGCACCTGTGTCAATAGAGTGCCGCCGGCGGTGAGTGCGCGCGCCGGGTGCCCGTCGTCGACGATCGCTTCCGACAGTCGACGGAGACAGAGGAGCACCACCAACGACAGGTGAGAGCCGCCACCCCCAGTCTATGGGGAAACTAGGGCACTCGCTAATCACCCCTCCCTTAGCACCGCGCAACAGGTGCCGTTCATTGGCGCCGCGCCAGGAAGTCGTAAAACGCCAAATCACAGCTTTTTGCCCTAAGGGTCTGTCCCCAATGGAAACCGTTACCCTAGGGTACTGCCGCCCGGCTGCCATGCCGGCCGGCCAGCCAGATCCGGTTTTTGCCCGTGGCTCCGATCACGGGACGCTCACCGTGATCTGCGAGTGGCCGTTGGGACGTCTCACGACGACCGTTAGGATTCAAAATTTGAATCTGAGAACATATGTTAGGGCGGGAAGGGCGAGCAATAATCCTACCGGTAAGATTGCTGCGATGATTTTAGGAACTGTGTAGGACAGTTAGAGCATGTGATGAATGTTTGGCTTCATAAACCATCACTAAGTGTACAAATTCATGAATTTGAATTTGCGTCCGTTGAGCCTAAAGATCAATGTCACGATTCCCGTCACATTATTACGCAGTGCGCGCACAACGGTTGGAGGCCGAGCTCCACTTGGCTGCAATGGCAAAGAGCAAGATTACCACCCTGGCTATACAAGCTCTGCATCGATAATTACATCTAAAACGTTGTTTATTTTATTTATTTAATAAATGTTTCATATGTGGGCATGTCCCAATTCGGCCGAAGTTTACAGATCAGGAGTTGACGCGTCAAGCATTTGTGCACGATTCCCAATGGCGTTGGACTTTTCCATTATCTCGCTTATTACAACGTTCACGTTACAAAATATATGAGAATTATAACGCATAGATATTATTTCGGCAAAAAGAAGTGCACTTTTTGATGGAGCGTCACTCTGAGTGACCAGACACCATTTGACTGCGGGTCACTGTGGTGCAAATAGGTAGTCGGGCATTTGATTGATGGGTGGGGCTTTTCTCATTCAATGCATCTGTCTTTTAAGTTATCAAGCTTCAGGCAGAAATGGAACTGGCAGAGTTTTGAAACATAATATTCCCTTGCAATATTTTTACACATGCATACATAGACCCATAGACCAACGCTATTCTTGAAAATGTTACAGATGCACCTATGGAGTCTACATATACGAAAGTATCAAATATTGTGTCGAAAACTTCTCGTCAACTAAAACCATTGGTTCTACTTTCTTCCCTAGCATGCAGGCACAGTGCACACACGCACACATTAGTTAGTCGGAACTGCTGATGATGAACCAACTATTGGTTATCGAACAAGATTGTTTGAGTAGATTCTCCCTTCTGATATATTCAGGATGCATGGTGTCCATGTTGAAACGGGCAAATGTAGTTTTCATTCGATTCCCTACTAAATGCTGATGCTATTATTAGCTACCTAATTTGAATAGCTGAACAGACGCTACGCTAATTGGTTGAACGACATTCACCTGCTCTACATTTGATTGATTTAGGATTACCTACTAAATCAATCGTTTTTTAAAATAAATTATACAAAAGCATAGCAGCTATTTTTAATTTTACATTATCAGACTCCATGTGGATTCAAATCTTTCGGCTAAATCCAAAGTAAATTGTTATATTTATACAAACTAAACTTGAGAAGGCGTTACAAAGAAATCGTGGAACGTTTAGCGGCACAAAAGTTTGATCATGTATTTACATGCATTGCATCAAAATTTTAAACTTTTTGAAATTTTATATATCAAGATTCAAAAATTATATTTTTTCAAGACGTTTTTGACTTTTCGAAAACACCGGAATATATATGATAGAACACATGCTTACTCTAGCAAGTTTTAGCCAGATATTTTCGAAAATGGCCAAGTTATACTCATTTTAGCAAAAATTTCACAAAAATGCATTTTTCAAGTCAACTTTTCAGTACGTATTTGACATCGTACACCAAAATAAATAGCACCATCGTGGTGCTGAGCTCAAGCTGCATCCGGTAGTCATGTTTTTGTTGAAAAAATTTCAACTTCAAAATTTGACCTTTTTGACCTGGAAGTGGCCTGACCTAAGCTAAATTCAACTCAAAATGACCTCGAATGACATAAACGACATCAAATTCGAAATCTATGGTCTAAATGGACCATAAAGCATGTGTCACGTGACCGACGCATGATATAAGATTTCCGTGACCTGTGATGACATGACCCTGACCTGAAAATCAAAGTACAAGTTGGTACCCTTAGCGTACCTAAAGCATCTGTTCACGAGTGTGTAAACCAAAAATGAGCCTGATCTGACTTGTAAGACGGCGGCCAGAGCCCAAAAGGTGAACTAGCCAAACATCGATAAGTTTTACTTTGACCTGACCTGTGACGTCATCGGTGACCTCGAGTTCAATGAAATTAGGTTTCCGTCGACAGTTTTTCCGGGGCTATCTGACGCCGCTTGAATTTTGGCGATCGGCCCAGTAGCTTCGGAGTCAGAAGGGGGAGGGCTATGAATAGTCCCCCCCCCCTCAGCAGGGCGCGTTATACACAGACCCCAGGGGCGCTGGTTAACATCACAAGAATTGCTTAAGTACTACTTTGAAGCTACATAGATCTTTCGAGCGATTGTTGCTAGATTCTATGACACCCCATGGTGCCTTTATATGATAGAGTGATACAGCGGACTGTTTCAATAGTTTACTGGTACGCAAAGCTTGCTGCACCAGTATTAATTCTTTAATTTATATTAGTATTAATTTTTTGGTTTCTGCGGGATTTGAGCTCACGTCGTTAAGCCCATCTCATAACGAGTGCATTACGCGAACAACAATACCGTTCTGCCGTCCCGTGGAACAAAAATCACAAATAACAACGAGTTGGAGCCGAAATAATGTTCTGAATTCTGAACAGGCTTCTGTATAACCAAAATATTTTCATAAATTGGTCACCGGAACAAAAAAAAATCGAAAAAAACGATGACACCGAGATATCCCTCACCGTCTCAGGGGGGGGTGCCTCATTTATGGTTATCTCAGGACTGTTCGGGAACACACCGGAGATAGACAGCTGAAAATTTACATACCTGATCCATTGCTTCAAGCCAGATCTCATGACACCAATTCCATGTTCAGCTCAGGTCAGGTCACTGACCTATGACGTCACCACTAGTAAACCTCTCACGGTCCTAAAATGTCGCAACTTATACGCAATGCCGTCAGGGCTAGAGGAGCTTTTGCAGGACGATGAAGCTTTCTTTGTAGAATCAGTAAACTCCCGAGCCCTCACAAGTTTTATATCTTGAGTTTTTCCTAAGTGTCGCCTGAGTTCAGGTCGCTCACATGACCTCACCATTATAACTCAATGGAGGAAATTTGAAAAGCTGGTATTTTGGTGCCAGCAATAATCTAGGACTGCCTCATAGGACTGATTCATGAAATCGTGATTTCATGCACTTTTTAAAAGGTCAGATGCTTAACTTTTGCATCGTTGACCTTGCGTGACGTCATTTATGACTAGAGATTGCAATCCCGGGATCGGGATCCCGGGATCCCGGCGGGATTTTAATCCCGATCCCGATCCCGAAATTCCGCCAATCCCGGGATACCGAAAAAATCAGTTTTCACCATAAAAAGAATGCAGCCGCTGCACGAGTCTTGTTTACACTGTTCATGGTGCTGCGTGACATAAAGCAGATAAACTATTTAGCTGGCACCCCGTATTGGCCGTCCACAATCGACCGTGTTGGTAGCTCCCGGGTATCACCCACAGCGGTTAAGCCGCTTAAATACGTACGAAAAAGGGTCCCGAACGCCAAAAAATTGCAGCATCAGCGCTGCAACATCTTTATCAGGACCACAGATCGTTCAGCGATTCTGACTTGCCCGTCCGTGGCCGGGAAAAAGAGGTCATCAAGACAGTCTTTGAGCTCGTGTCGCAGATGTCACGCAAGTGACGGCAGAGCTCACTGATTCAGACGTTGAAGACGGTAGAGTGGAGCTCTCCCAGTCAGTGACTCTGCTCTCAAAGCGACTTTCGAGCAAATTCTGAGAGACATTAGTGATGAAAGCGGAACCGAAGGAGGTGAAGTGACCAACCGACGTCTTGAAAACATTGTGAAATTCGAAATAGGGAGCTGCCAAATTTGGCGTACACTGGTTGCGAGTTTTTAAGTAGACAGACTTACCAGCAATGGCTTAAAACTGTCGCGCTAACTACGAGTAGCGTAGACGAAGAATGAGTGAGGCATGGATATGCTGGAACCCGTCTAGTAAACGTACTGGTCGACGCACAGTTTTATAAAGGCCAATTGGGAATAAATGATAATGCTAATCAAATCGAAACATTTTCTTCGCAAATTCAATCGTTTTTAATGCAAATGACATAGTTGGCTTTTGATGCCTCTTTGTTTGTGGTAAGCTAAAAGACACAAAATATGTCAGTAGGAAATCACTCTTACGACATTTAGTGACAAGACCGGGATCCCGGGATCCCGGGATCCCGAAATAAAAACATTCGGGATCCCGGGATTGGCAAAACGTTCCGGGATTGCAATCTCTATTTATGACGTTACTAAGGTTTTAGTAATTTTTCGTCAATAACTCCCGATCAAATTGAGCTAGCGAGTCGGAAAATTCACCAAGAGACTCATGAAGATTTGTCGAATTGACTGATATGGAATATGACCTCATCTATTCAATTTCCTGACCTGAATAGCTCTGAACTGACCTTGACCTGAGGTCAACACCCAAAGTTGAACCCACTGAAACAAAAAGCATATCATTTGAAGCGCCTGAGCATGCGAAATACGACGGTGCCAAAATCGCGGCTCTGCAATCGTTTTTGGCAATGTTGTTCACCAAAAACCAAAACAATACATTGGGGCACTTGACCTGCCCTCAGAGGTCAACGGTCACATAAGACGTTGACATCGGGTACCAGTTGCTGTATTCTCTTAATGGTGCACACTTAATTTTTTTGCGAGGCTCTAGCTCAATGTAAGGGGCGAAACGGCCAGAGTGGGTCGTGGCAACCACACCTCCTCTTTCGGCCGGGGCTTATGTAG